GGGGGTGACCCCCAACCAGCGGCCGAGCGCTGGGGCAGAGCCCCCAAGGCGGATCCCGCCGCTGTGCCCGCGTGTTTTAACGTATGAATGACCCCGGCGAGCAATTCCAGGCGGAACCGGGCGCCTCACAGCGCACGGTAACCAAGAACTAGAGGGAGGAGAGGAACTACAGCGGGAAATCGCTTTGAGTCTGTCTCATCGCCTCAGGCACCGAGTTTATAGCCTGACCCAGGGCTGAGGCTTCCCCCAGTCCCTGCTCGGCGTCAGTGGAGCGATGGACACACAAGAACAAGTCGCTGACAAGGAAACTTCCATCGAGGCACAAGAAAAAGAGGAAAGTGCAGTAAAATTAACCTCGTGTTGCTGAGGTGCGTGCTGGCATTCCAAGGAAAATGGTTATGTATGGAAAGAATCTTGGACAAATCATCTTCCTACAAACCTAACTGAAAAACTAAATAAATTCCTCTCCACTGTTAGTTCTTTGATGAGAACAGTTGTTTTAACGCTAGTTTTTAATGTATTTCACATGTATGTTATGTGATTCCTGGTATCTGGTGTCTGTGCTGCTCCATCATGCTCCCCTAAGCAAGTCTTCTGACTTACTTCCAAGGGGAATAAGAATAATGGAGCGGGTATACTGTGTTTCAGTTTTAAAATGCAGATTCCTCCATCCCTGAGAGGATGGTTTCTGATCTACACTGCCCAGGCTTCTGCTTCCGCGGCTGAGATAGGAGCCAAGAAGAAAAGGGAAGGGCATTCAGCAGCAGCAAGTGCCAAGAGTGTCTCTGCTCCTGTACTCATCGTGCCACCATCGAGCCCGGGGTCAGATCCCAGCGTGGGATTAGATCTGCTGCACCACTGAATCCCCACCTGAAAGACCAGCTTTAAAGGACTGTGAGCTGAGAGATTAAAATGATTTTTGTAACTCTCTGCATGAACATAAAGAACTTCTCATTGCAGTTGCCTTCTTCCACTTGAGCAAATGGGAAATGGAACTTTTCAGTTGGAAATGCTCCCAAGGATGAAGCTGGCAAACCCGCAGCAGGGAAGTGAGAATGCTGTGTGCATGCAGCCATAGGACAAGCTTTCTGTCCACACCCCTCTGTGACCATCTCTTCATTTTAAACACTAGCTTCTTCCTTCCCCTCCTCTCCCCCTACAAGAAACGTTTGCTTCCCCGTTTCATTTAATAGCTAAGCCATGCAGTGCTATTGAAACCCAGTCTACTGAATAACAACTTAATGATGGGATCCCTGTCCTGTTCCTTTTGAATGGCTGCTTCAGCGAGATCTGCTTCCTGCTGGGAGGGATGTGAGGGTGGAGAAACCTGGATTGAAGCTGAATGGCAACCAGAGTGCTGGAAAACTGAACCAGAAGGCAAGAATGAGGTCAATGCTGCGAGGCTGAAATCAGGAGACATTCTATGCAGCTAAGCTAAGTTCAAGAACTAACAGCGAGTGCTTGGGGTGTGTATTAACAAATGTTTGGAGTCCTCTGTTAGCTCCATTAGTGCTAATTCCTGCTTTTCCATGGGGAGCTGTGTTTAATTGGCATGCTGGAGCATGATGCTGCATGGCAGAGGTTAAGGAAATAACAGTGCCATCAAATCTTCACTGTGTGTTTTCAGTATGTACAGTCATTCCCAGAACGAGTGGAAGCTGACAAATCATTCCTCCTAGTTTCACTTCCTGGCAACTCTACGAAGCCTTGAGAATTTATTTTGGCTATCTAGGAAGAAGAAAAAAAAAAAGACTAAACCAACCACATTTGTTTTGTTAGTTCCTGATGTCACATCTGAACGCAGGTCTCCAGAGGTGATAAATTAATGTCCTCGAGCGTTGCACCATCTGGTTCCTCTTTGGATGCGCAACATTCTGAATGCTTGGTTTAATCTCCCTGGGTTTCAGTAAATTATGGAAACTCGGAGGCTTGGCAGCAGGAGATGGGCACCATGAGGAGATGATTCAGTCATCAATATCTATTGGGCTTCCTTATTGCTGCCGTTAACACTTCTTTCTGTTCTACTTAGAAATTTTGCAAGTGACTAGTTCATCACACCAGGAGCTGCAAGTAAGGTTTGGAACTTGCCTCCTCTAAGATTAGCTATGACAAATTCATGCTTTCCAAAGGTGGCAGTGCTAACTGGGCTGCTTTTTTCCAGGGTTGGGTGATAAATCAGAAATAAATTGCATGTACATGTAACTGATGACATAAATCACATTTCCTTCTTTTCTCTCTGGACAGAATCAGAGCACCTTGGAATAGATGTGAGAAGACTCTGCTCTGGGAAAAGCTGCCCTGGAGAGCCATGGCTGCCGCCCCTCATCTCAACTCTGATGCACTGCGAGAGGTCCTGGAGTGCCCCATTTGCATGGAGTCCTTCACCGAGGAGCACCTGAGACCCAAGCTCTTACACTGTGGGCACACCATCTGCAAACAGTGCTTGGAGAAGCTCCTGGCAAACAGCATTAATGGGATCCGGTGCCCCTTCTGCAGCAAAATTACACGGATCACAAGCTTAGCTCAGCTGACTGACAACCTGACTGTGCTGAAAATCATAGACACCACTGGACTGGGGGAAGCAGTGGGTCTTCTCATGTGCAAGGTCTGTGGGAGAAGGTTGCCAAGACACTTCTGCAAGAGCTGTAGCTTGGTTTTATGTGAGCCCTGCAAGGAGTCATCGCACATGCCTCAAGGACATAGAGTTGTTGCTATCAAAGAGGCTGCTGAGGAGCGTAGGAGGGAATTTGGGACGAGGCTTGCCAGACTTCGGGAGCTCATGGGTGATCTGCAGAAAAGAAAAGCATCTCTGGAGGGTGTTTCAAGAGACCTGCAGTCTAGATACAAAGCAGTTCTGCAAGATTACAGCAAAGAAGAGCGCAAGATCCAGGAGGAACTGGTCAGGTCACGCAAGTTCTTCACCAGCTCTTTGTCAGAAGTGGAGAAGGTAAATAATCAGGTCATGGAGGAGCAAGCTTATCTGCTGAACTTAGCAGAAGTGCAGATAATGTCTCGCTGTGACTATTTCCTTGCCAAAATCAAGCAGGGAGATATAGCTCTCTTGGAGGAGGCAGCAGATGAGGAAGAACCAGAACTGACAAACAGTCTTCCAAGGGAGCTGACTCTTCAAGAGGTTGAACTCCTGAAGGTGAGCCACGTGGGACCACTGCAGATTGGGCAGGTGGTGAAGAAACCCCGCACTGTCAATGTGGAGGAATCCCTCATGGAAACTGCAGCATCCTCATCGGCATCATTCAGGGAGCCTGACTTGGTGCAAGAGGAGCCCAGCTGCACACCCAGTTCCTCCCCAGCCAAGCCAAGGATGCCTGAAGCAGCCACAAGCATTCAGCAGTGTCACTTCATCAGGAAGATGGGCTCCAAGGGCAGCCTGCCAGGGATGTTTAACCTCCCTGTCAGCCTACATGTCACCCTGCAGGGCGAGGTGCTTGTGGCAGACAGAGGCAACTTCCGAATCCAGGTTTTTACCCGCAAGGGCTTCCTAAAGGAGATTCGCCGGAGCCCCAGCGGCATTGACAGCTTTGTCTTGAGTTTCCTTGGAGCAGACTTACCCAATTTGACACCCCTTTCTGTCACCATGAACTGCCACGGCCTGATAGGTGTGACTGACAGCTACGATAACTCAGTCAAGGTCTACACTATGGATGGCCATTGCGTGGCCTGTCACCGGAGCCAGCTAAGCAAGCCCTGGGGCATCGCTGCTCTGCCTTCGGGGCAGTTCGTAGTCACTGATGTGGAAGGAGGCAAACTCTGGTGTTTCACAGTGGACCGTGGCGTGGGGGTAGTGAAGTACAGTTGCTTATGTAGTGCAGTGCGCCCCAAGTTTGTCACCTGCGATGCTGAAGGGACCATATACTTCACCCAGGGGCTGGGGCTTAACCTGGAGAACCGGCAGTACGAGCACCATTTAGAAGGAGGCTTTTCAATCGGCTCTGTTGGCCCAGATGGGCAGCTGGGACGCCAGATTAGCCACTTCTTCTCTGAGAATGAGGATTTCAGGTGCATTGCTGGGATGTGTGTCGATGCCAGGGGAGACCTCATTGTTGCTGACAGCAGCCGCAAAGAAATCCTGCATTTTCCTAAAGGAGGGGGCTATAACATCTTAATCCGTGAAGGACTCATCTGCCCAGTTGGTATTGCCATTACTCCCAAAGGGCAGCTGTTGGTGCTGGACTGTTGGGATCATTGCATTAAGATCTACAGTTACCACCTGAGAAGATATTCCACCCCTTAAAGGCATGTCTCTAAGCAGAGATTCTTCCAGCCTCATTGCAATCTGACAGGAACCAGTGTCAAGCATTCAGGAAGATGGTGCCATAACCAAAGGGGGATCAACATAGAGGCCGTTGTGTTTTGTGTTTAGAAACAAAATAGCTTATGTGGTGGTGGTCTGCTTTTTATTCTTCCTTTTTTTATATATATATAAAATCCATACAGGGAAAAAGAACAAGTGCCAAGGGAAAGGATCTATCCTGGAGTATTGGTTCCTTGTTAAATGACCGGTCACTCCATAAACCTTCTCACCTCCTTATGCCACATCGCCTACACTTCCAGCTTCAACCGTTGTATCTTTGTGCCATAAACACTGACTGCTCTAAATCACCTTCCCTTAGAGAACCCGAGAGGCAATCCTCGCTGTGGAACTCACAAGGAACTGGGTAACAGTTGTCTGGGCAACTACTCGGGAAAGCAATTTCTGATTGCAGCACTGCATCAACTGAAACAGCCCTCTTAAACTGCGTGGAGATGGAGCTGTGCTGTCAGACCGAGGGAGGGGCTTTTCTCTCTGGTTTTTGGGTATTCAGGAGATCACCCCTGTGGTGCTGTTGGTGAACCGTGTCTGTTCAATGTCAAGTGAGTACTGGGCAATTGTGGGAGACTGAGCTGAGCCTCAGAACTGCCCTCTCTGATGGCAACAGGGTTTTTATTACTACTGAGAGTTCTGTTAGGTAGAAGAGGGTAAAAAGGGAGGGGGTTGGAGAAAGAAATATAAGGGGGGAGGGAACCTATGGTTGATATTTACTGTTTTATTATTAAATGTATCCTGGAAACTGGTTTTGGAAGGTATGTC